TATATATATATATATTCATATATTTAGTGTCGTGCAAACATTATAAAAATTCATTTTGAATTTTCATTATAAAAAGAATCAATAAAATAAAAATGAAATCTCTTTTGAAGAAGGCATTTTTGTGTAACAATTGGCGTCTCCTAACCCCTGTGTGCGAATAAACATCAACTTATAATAAACTAATATCTTCCTCACGTTTATTGCTGCAACTGGAACAAAATTAGGTTCTTCCGGCATCACCATAGGAATCCAAATCCCACCTCCAAGATTTTCTTCATTATCTGAGCAGCCTTCTCTCGAGCTCTAGCGGATCCTTTGACGGAAAGATCAGCCAGCAGGGTTGAGAATTCCGTAGACTTAGAGCATCCCTGAGACAGCCCTCACTTTCATCAAAGAGCCTGAGGAGAATCTCCGTCGCACCTTATTCTTTACTCAACATGCATCTCCTCTTCAATACGTCCACCATCAAGGCAACAACAATCTAGTCAGTTTTCATCAGAGACTTCAGTCCTTCATCAAACCTGGAAAGCAAGCCCAGAATGGTCAGGCAAGTTCCGGCCAGATCTTCTCCATCGGTACTCTCCACCACGTGGAGTGAGACAGGGACTGCTCCTGACGGGACAGCCAAGGTGCAGTTTCCATGGAACTGCACAAGCTCGGCAAGTGGAAGGAGGTGATGAGCAGCTGGACTGCGGGATACAGATACTGCCTTTACTATCAGCTGCACCGTGCCCGCGATCCCGAATTTGGCCTTGTTTTTGTCAAGCATTGCCAGGCTGCATACAAGGGAAGAACCTAACTTGCTCGTTTCGGGGGAGCTTGGGGCGAGAAGAAAGGAATTAAGGTGACTTACGGATGGTTTCCATATCTGCAGGAGAGTGCTTGAGGTCAGGATTCAGGAAGAGCTAGGTTGAAGAGAATGGACGAGGAGAGGGCTTGGATGGTGGGGGGGGAGGAAGATTTAGAGTGGTTTAGGAAGGCACGTATGGCTCCATCTGTTTGTGTTAGGAGGGTTCTGTTTTTGGGCCTGACTTTGGTGATGGAAGCCAGAGTCTGGAGAGCTTTCTGCTGATCTACCGGAGAGCCCGATTGTGCTTCAGACAGGCATTCAAGAACGGTTGCTTGGAGCCGGGTTGCCGACGACATTGCTCCTGGCAGGAAGATTGCAGAAGAACTAACATGCTTCAAGTGATTTCCTGGTACGTTTATCAGGACAAGGTGTAGATAATTACAATGAGGAATGGCATTGGGAAATCCTCCAACTGATTCAGCCTGCTGTGGAGAATTATTTTATATATAGACTAATACAGGAAATATCGGCGCGAATATAACAAGCAACCCAAATAAAATGGTAATTCATATTGCGTAATAATTCAGGGGAAGAAAATTCCTGATGCACATGGGGCACCTAATCCATATTGCCATCAGCTGGCAAAAATCCTCACAGATAAATGGTGTTCCATGACCAACTATAACAGACAGAATCCTGAACATAATATGACCCATATGCTAAACGTTACCTCAAACATATGCTGGAAACATAACAAAGATGGACCTAAAATCCAAACTTCTAAATATAAGTTCAGGTATCTCATACCAAGCCACAGCATTGGGAAGAACAAAGCATAGAAGAATTTTTGTTAACCGCTACTCCATTGTGCCATAAGAAACACAAGCTCATTAGGAAACAACACCAGTAATCGCAAGAGTTAACTAATTCATCTGCCAGAGTCAGGGGAACCATCTTCATAGGAGACTAGGCCCCTCTTGCCATCTGGACTTCCAGAAGAGGACCTTGACCTTGCTTTGCTTCCCTGTTTTGGAGACCGGGACTCTAATGAGGACCTTGATCTGGATGCGCTCCTGCTCCGAGAAGGTGTCCTTTGCCTCCCTGCATAAGGAGAGGCATGGCGCCTGGTCGTCTCAACTGGTGAACGGCCACGAATGGGGCTTTGGCTACGGCTAAAGCGACGATTGCGGTAGACGGGGCTGCGTGATACAGATGGACTTCGTGTCCTGCTTCTTCTACTTCTGTACCTGGAAAAAGAGGTTTTCATTTGGCATCGAGTTACGAAAATAAAACAATATGAAGAAACGAAATGAAAGTTTTTAAAATAAAAAAATAAATAAAATAAAATCAGCAAAAATTAAGAATGAAGACCAATAATATGAAATAATAATAATAAAAGAAAAGAAAAGAAAAGAGAAACACAAAGTACAAGCATATCACACACACCTTGAAGGAGTCCGTCCTCTTGGTGGAGGGCTTCTATAACGCCTAGGTGAATACCTCCTGTAACTTGAATACCTAGAAATGACATTTAATAGCAGACACATCCCAAAATCAAATTTTTAAAAAATATGATGTCATCAGGATAATTCAAGTCCCAAGTACTTGAGAGAGGGAGAATGCTAATAGACAAGATAACATAATTGTATATGGTCAGATACCTGTCCCGATCACTTCTCCCACCATAACGATAGGACCTCCCTGGAGAACGATCAGGAGAGGGAGTTCTATATCGTCGTGCATAAGAATAACGCTGGCTGAAACCCCGCCCCCTCCTGATGCGCTTTGGCGATCCATCAGGGGAAACACTTCTAGATAAACTTCTTCGATCAGGAGGAGGTGACCTTACCCTTCGTGGACGACTAGGACTCCTTGAATAGCTACGGCGAGTACTCCGACTTGGTGGCCTTCTTGGACTTCTACTGATGCTTCTTCTTGAAGGAGCCCTCCCAGAGCTTCTGCTTACACTTCTCTGAGAAGATCTAAAAGGACTTCTACTGCTGCTTCTTTTTGAATTCCTAGGAGGACTTCTGCTAATTGACTTTCTTGATGATGTGCAAGGTGGGCTCCTGCTTAGGCTTCTTCGAGATCGGGACCTCACAGGGCTGCCACTAATATTCCTTTTTCGAGAATGGGACCTCAATGGGCTTCTGCTGATTCTTCGGCTCCTGCTCCTTGGTGGACTTCTGCTGACATTTCTAGCCGGACTTTTGCTGACAGTTCTAACTGGGCTCCTGCTGATACTTCTACTCCTGCCCTTTGGTGGACTTCTGCTGCCACTAGCAGGGCTCATGCTGCTTCTGCTTCTCCTAGGACTCCTGCTGATACTACTCTGCAGCACACGTGGAGGACTTCTACTCAGACTCCTGTTCACATCTCGCCTAGGGCTAACACTTGGGCTCTTGCTTCGACTATGTCTGGGACTAATACTCATACTCTTACTCATGGTCCTTTTAGGACTCATGCTCCGGCTCCTGCTCATCAACTTTGAATAAAATACCAGATCGGGAAGAATCTGTAAGCATAAAGAATAACTGAGCTGTGAGAAGAATGGAAAGTAGACCTAGATTTGCTTGGGCGATCATCTACAACATCAGGTTGCCTATTAGCACTTCTTTCAGATTCATCATCTTCAATGCCATTGCTCTGCTGCCGTCCATTTTCCATGGGAAGATCACCCTCCTTTTCAAACATATTAGTCTCTTCACCATTTTTATGACAAAGGGAGGCAACTTCTTCTTCTATGGCTGATGGAGATTGATTCCCAACTGCTCAACATAGAGAAAATTAATCAAATATATTTTAATTAAAGCACAAAGTTACTAGTAGAAAATGACCTCAAAATGCAAAGGTGGAAAATTGCAATTATCACTTAAATTAAGAACTTATTTTCTCCTACATTTATGAGATGACAAGCAGCCTATACATTACTCCAAGCATTAAGAACTTAACACCTGTAATAAAAGAAATCAAGACATAGTGTCAAATCACCAGAATGCTGCCCATGTTTAAGACCTAAATATATATGATATACGTTTACCCATATAAAGACCTGAATAAATGATATTGTGGATACATAACTTCAACCTACTGAGATTAAAAGACAGAAATGAAGGCAAACGAAAAAGGAGGGGTAAAATAAAGGTATTACAAGGAGAGTGATATAATCATTCAATGTCAATGTTGTCAAATTAGCATTTAACAAGTTTCACCTCTATCGACCAAACAGACCCTTAAAAAAGATCAACAGTAAATCTCAAGAAAACAAAAATATTAGTGGCTGTCCATACTAGTTTTGGCAAGAATGCAACAGCAAAAGCATCATACAAATAAACAAAAATAGGTGGTAAAATATACAATCATATTATGCACTGGAAATCACTTCTAGGTTAGAAGATTAAACTGAAAGAGGATAAAAATAAGTGAAAGATGAATGATTCCTATGCCTACCAGTTTTCTGAGAAAGTTCTTTATGCTTCCGAGCTTTTCCCTGCACATTAGCACCATTATCAGTGCTAGTTTCACTTTTACTCTCACTTTCGTCATCTGTCATGCTATCAGAAGCCCTAAAAGAAAAAAGAAGGTAGCATAAGTTGTTGTTCATACAATTACATGTCATAAAAAAACGGTGAATCAATTCAAGCAATCAACAGCATATAAATTGCACATATGTACAAGGGAACATTCTTGACCAAACAATCTCAACCAGATTTCCCAAAGATCATTGGTAGCTTCATGCAAAATTGCAAATGAAGAAGAGTATTCAGACTTAAGGCCTAGCATGCACAAGCTTTCAGAACTTATGAATTGGAATTAAATAACAAATTACACACAAGCAACTGGCAAAATGTTTCAAAGATAAATGAAACATTGGCATCCAACCTTCTTGATCTGCGCTTGGATCTCTTATCACGTCTCTTTCGCTTTCTGTCACGCCGTCCATCTCTCCTTTTTCCACGCCTATGTTTTTCACGTTTAGAAGATCTCTTTCTCTTTTTATGCCTGTCATCACTTGAAGAACTCATTTCAGAGGAGGATGATAGAGATGAGTCAGAATTAGTATCAGACTCAGATGATTCAGTCTCAGAATCTGAGGAACTCTCTGAATCAGATGAATAATATCTTCTTCTCTTTTTCCTTCTGTCTTTTGAAGATTTCTTGTGTTTCCCCTTTCTCCGTGCTTCATGACTATTGGCATCAGGACAAGCATCTTTTCCTATTTTTGATTTAATTTTCTTTTTGTCTGTGGATTATAAAATAAAAAAATTGAAAGGGAGAACTATCAGGAAACAAGTGCCAGACTTCACACTTTGTCACCAGGGAAAAATATGAGCAAGGACATAAAACACAAATTAAGAGGATAATTCTTCATCTCACAATCAGGAAATGCAACCCTACAAAATAAGATCTATGACCTTTACCTTCAATAAATTCACCACAATTAATTATTTTAACTTTTACAGTCGGCCTTCCCTCTTCATCACCAACATTTTCAATTTTTTTCAAGACCTCATCTCCTTGGACAAGCTTCCCAAAGATTACAGATTTCCTGTTAAATGTCACAACCACAGAGACTAAGAAACCAAGTATTGATCATTACTGAACAGAATAAATCTTATATCAGCAAAAACCAAAAGGAATTTGAATTTAGTACTCAAAGATAAAAATACCGGTCAAGATGATGAGCAGCACTGAGGGTGATAATAAATTGTGAACCTATGGAATCGCGATAAGAAACTGGCATGGATAAAAGACCAGCGCCATCATGCTTTAACTTTGCCAATTCATCTGAATAAATATTACAATCATGAGTGTATTACTACTCAATCCTTCATCCGAAGAACAATAGATATGGACCTGAATTTTTACAGATTGATAGTTTGCAGGAAAAGAAAATTGTTTCACATTTTCTCTGAGAATTGATTGACTGATTGGGAATAAAAGATGATCAAATTGCCACACTAAATTAGGTTTGCAAGGACAAAAATAAACCCTTCATTCTCAGACTTAAACAACCATGTTGCTCTTTCATGAACAATTAAAATTAGGAATGTTATCTCCATGTCAATATTCCTGGAATGAAGATACAAGAAGATCCCTCACAATGCCTTGAAATATGAAGAGGTTAGTGTCATTTGTTAGGTTAAAAAAGTGAAGACCTCAGATTGCATGCACACTATTGCACATATCATTAGAGCTTTTCTAGAGAGATGCTGAGATGTTATTTATTTAATTCATTAATTGTAACAAAATGTTGGTCCCCTCAAGGTCAAGGAAATTCTTAGGCCAATGGGCACCCTGTTCCTGACAATCTAAACCATAAGATCATTCACCTGCAAGCCTAATAAAATAAAATTATCCATAGATTGCTTCACTCCCCCACCTAAGTCTCAATAACACCCTATACAATATAATCTCAAACATAAATGAAACCTAAAACATCTTGCTACCTCTACAAAAATATATATATATATATCAATCTAGATAAATAAGAAACAATAACCTAAGAAGTTCAATTATGAGATGCATCCACATTCATATTTTAATTGGTACAATAAATAAAATCTGATGGTTAAATCAATTGTGAAGAGCACAAAACTGCAAATAATACTTAACAAAAATTATTACAAATGCATATAATGATGCATGAAATAGAAAAAATTTCACCTCCTGGAAACTTCACTTCATATATGCTTTCTCCACTAGTTCCTACAAAAACAAATGAAACAATTTTAACCAGCCAATTTCACAAGTTCACAGGGGAATCAAATCAGCAATCAAACTAAGTGGAAAAACCCTATCTGCTGTATATATATATATATATATTGGCCAAATCACATCTGCTGTTGAAAAATGAAAGATATACTTAATCCCAAAAGCAGCAGAAACTATCCACCCTACAATCCATCCCTCAAAACTGTAGCTGCAATGGGGCATAAATTAAGAGGTCATGCAAAGAATACATACCATCTCTTTTCACAAAATCACCAGCCTGCAAGACAAACACGAGCTGTTAGTCCTTCAAGTAAGAAAAAAAGGTGATTATGTCTACAAAACTGGATTTGACACAACAGAGTAAAGCTTTTGAAGATAGACAACTTAGTACACACAACCTTAAAACTACATCACAAGAAAAGCAGTCGTGACCATCAGCCCTGTTTCCTACAGCATCAAAGATAGTAACTGACTAAAAGACATACCACTTCTCTGCCATGATAAACCATAAAACTAAGATTTATAAGCAAATATGAAATTAGTTAACACAACAAACCTTAGCCATGGAACCTTTCATGATGTGATGGAAGAAGGATCCCTTGTAGTGCAATGCTTTTCCAGTTTTAGGGCCAATTCCCTTTTCTCCTAAATTAACAAATTCAAGTGATCCAATAAACATGAGAAAAAATGAAGAAAAAAGAATAAACTTAAGAGTAGAAATGAAAATATCAACCATAAGAACAAGAATACAACCCGGAATCAAAGCATCAAGCATAGAAAACTGAATCCATATTTTGTGTGAGACAGAATGAAATATTATACAAGTACACATCTTCCAACAAATTGAATCAAAATTGAGGGGAAATGAAAATAACAAAACTAAACCTGTACATAGTGCACGGAAATTTTCTGCAGTCTTTGGAGCAAAATCAGGGAAAAGCTGCAAAACAAAAGAGAAACAAATAAATATCCACACAGACAGAGAGATAGTTTTTAAAAAAATTATAAAAGCAAGCCACAAGATATGATATAAGAAAAAAAACTCGTTTGTGTAGTTGGGTAGTTATACCTCAAACACCATCTTTTCACCAGGATCACCATCAATTGACACATCCATAAAAACCAATGGATTCTTCTTCTTTGCCATCTCTGTTTGCCAATATCACAAGTCAAGCTAGCATAACCAACAATCTGATCAAACAAGTTAGCATGTGCGAGTCAATAACAAACAACCATGAACTATCTAACCCTACAATAAAAGCTCCAATTGGTTTTATGTCTATATCACATTCACAGCCAACCAGAAGCCAAAAACAAATTACATATCTGTTTCTACCAAACCGAAAAATCTTTTGATGAACCATATGAATTCATTCCACTATTTTGAAAACAATTTTTGGAAACCAATTTTCCCATATTGAAAAGTTCCCATTGAAAGAAAAATTGTCTCAACAGACATTGACCACAGTACTTTGAAGAGAAATTTTCAGCATGAAAAACACCATTAGAGGATATCGACAATAATTGGCATGTATTTGATTCAAACATACATATATATTTTAGCCACATCCACAAACTCACAAAGTGTTCCACCCATAACAGGTAAGAAAAGATTAAAAAGCCCACATTAACAGATCTAAACAAAACACCCGAAGGTAACCACAAAAAGCAAATAAAGTCTAATTC